TTTTTATATATATATATATATATATATATATATATGTGTGTGTGTGTGTGTGTATGTGTTAATACTTGCGATTTTAATAATCTCTTAACCTTGACTTTTTGTTTACTGAGAAAGTTATCGAGTTTTATCGAAGAAATTTCACGACCAATATAACATGAGAAGCACATACCAGAAATAGTGTTATTTATATCAAAATTGGCAACACTATCGTTGGCAAAGGATCGAAACGATTATCATTCGTAATATACCTGCAATTATATGTCCCTGCGACAGCTTGATTTTACAATATGAATCGTATCACTTTGTACGCAATTAAATTTTTTGTAAAACGTCTAAATCTACATTTAAAATTATTCATAAGTAGCTCGGATGAAAGGTGAATTGGAGATATAGTGAAACCTAATATTAAGTGTTTCGTGCATAGGGCGAATAATTGCTGTAATTTATATTAATAACGGCAATTTATTTGAAATCTGTAGGAGTACGAGTGTTTACTGATTTTCATCATGACTTTCCGACATTAACGAGTATTTAAAAGTTAATTGGATCATCATGTGTGTTTCACTTTTGTCATGTTTATTTAAGAAGAAAGATGCGTAAGAAAATGAAAATATCAATTTTAAAAAGCAAATTAATTTCTGCACAATTTTTTACATAATAATTTTTAAATATATGTATATATAAATACCTACAAAAGATAGATATAACATCCTTGAAATCTGAATAATTAAATAAGAGCAGATAATTAAGAAAAAATTTAAACAATTTAATTTTTATTTAATTCGTCATATAACAACAATTTTTTATTGTAGTTTTGATTTGAATTAAATAGAAAAAAAAACAATTTATTGTAAGTGATGTAAGATTGTCGTAGCATCAAAATTTTTGAAACACTGTAGAATCGTGTTTCTTTATCTTTATATTCTTTGTATTTTTTTTAGTAATACTGAATCAGTTTGTATAATATTTTTTATTTATTTCTCTAAAAAGGAACAGTTTATGATTTAATCATTAAAACCTATTCTACAATGCTTTTTGTTTTCTACTTTTTGCTATTTTTTACATCTTGTCTCCTTATCCGGTTTTTTGTTTTATATCGCCTGAGATAAAAATTAACAAATTTCGAAAGAAGCAAAAAATATGTAGCAAGAAATACAATTGTCGATAAACGATTGCAAAGGAGAAAAAAGTAAAAAACAGGAAACAAAGAGCACATTAGATTAGGTTTTAGTTTTAAAAAATTATAGCTGTAGGTATTATATAAATTATACAACTATAAAAAATATAAATCTCTTTTACACAACTATAAAAAATTATAGTTGTATTATATATTATATATAAAATACAACTATAATTTTTTTAAATTAAATGATTAAATCATAAATCGTTCCTTTAAAAAAAAATATATATATATATGTACATGTTACGAGCAGAAGTTGGAAAAGAGGCGGGATGTTTTAAACTATAACGAAAATTTAAAATGAATTTGAAATAAAATTATCAGTTTAAAAATACAGCTAGTTACACAAGAGAAAAATTAAAGAAAAATTATTCGGATATGTCGAGTAGTGATGAGAAAGAAAAATATAAAAATAGTTTTATCTTATAATTTTTTAACTGCATCTATCCCTTTACAAACATTTAAATTATCGACATTTCTTTTTCTCAAAATTGTTTAAAATTGAAATGAATTTGTTCTTAGGTCACTTATATCTACATACACATATTACGTTCAGCAGATTCGTATTCCGAGATCGGCCGAAATGAAAGTAAAAAAAAAAGGATTGATCTTTAAATACATATAATTAACTAAAAGTAATTATGCAAATGTAGGTAATATGATGAGAGATTTCCTATTTTCCATACACA